CCTGAACCCTTCACAACGCAATGATTTAGGCGCACGTCTGTATTTGGTTTCCCCTTATTCCCATGTTCCACAGACAAACTACTAACAACTGAAGTGACATCACCATGAGCTATCTGGATAAGTTTCGTGTCGGAATTTCCCACACAAAATTCGTGTTTAGGTGTCGGAAATGACACCAGAGTTCGCCTCGCATACGAGAAAGTGGCTCATCCCGTTTTCCCTGCAACAGGTGTATGCGGCCCCGAATCCGGTTGTCAGACCGAACGTAACTCCAGATCCAGTTGAAGCTGCCAAGGAGACCAGGTACGGTTCCTCAGTCTCATGCTATCTGTCGACTGGCGCGGTTGGCTCGTGGGGACTTTCACGTAATACCGAATATACTGTGATGGCTGGCGCGGGAGGTGTACCAACAGGGAGCGCCGAGGACACCACTCAAAAGAAGAGAGGGGCAGTGTAATGCTTTGGTGGTCACTTTAGGATTTGTCTGGCTTTGTACTCGTGGGCTGGCCTTCGGACCATGCCCAGGTCCATTTGTCCTGCTGTCTTCGGAGTATATGTTTTTAGCTGCACTTACTGGCTTTTTATACGAGCTAGGAAGTATTTTACTGATACTCTTAACCTTTATTTACAATTTTCTGAGGTGGTTCTTTTTTTCCTACTTTTATTTGTATTAAGCACAACTACGTTCTCGTGCAGATTCTAACTAGTTTTAGATCTTTTTAAATGGCTAAATATTATTAGTCATTTTTTAATATTAATACTATAGCATAGTTTTTTGCTAAATTTTTTTCATCCTTGTATTTTGTTTTATTTGATTGATTTGCATCTTTATATTTATTACCAGCGGTAGTATAAAAGAAGTTGGTCCTCGCTGAATCTACACGCATAAACATGGAGCCTTCGGATTCTGAGATCTATGATGAGGTTAAGAAGATTTTGGAACCGTTGAATTTGAGGATTGAGGACTATGCGAGTATACGGGACAAGATTTTGGATGCAATGGTGCGCGGACTTAAGTTGAAGACACGAGACACTTCTTCTATTAAAATGTTTCCTTCGTTTGTCACTAAATTTCCAAGTGGAGAAGGTTTTTGCGTTTGTTGTTTTAATTGCATTTAGAAAAGGGACAATTTCTTGCTTTGGATCTCGGTGGCACTAATTACCGTGTGCTTCTTGTAACTCTTGCTGGCGATGGTCAGCATCCTAAGATTGATGAACGCACATACGCTATTCCGCAAAAGAATATGGTTGGTACAAGCAAGGAGGTAGCGTTTTTTAAGATTTGCTTATATTTTAGCTTTTCGGATACATCGCTTCAACTCTTCAGAACTTCCTCAAACGTTATGGACTTGAGGACAAGAGTCTCCCACTAGGTTTTACATTCTCGTTTCCCTGCGAACAACATGCTCTTGATAAATCTGTCATTGTTAGGTGGACAAAAGGGTTTAACGTAAAGGATGCCATTCATTCAGATGTAGCAAAACTACTCCAAACCGCCACGGATGATATTGTAATTTTATTCCCCAGCATAGCAACATTTTTTTTACTTTAGGGACTTAAGGTAAAATGTGTTGCCGTTGTAAACGATACTGTCGGAACGTTGGCCTCATGCGCTTTGGAAGATGCTCGATGCGCTATCGGTTTGATTGTTGGTAAGTTATAATTACCTCGTTCATTCCATTCCAGGAACCGGTACAAACGCTGCCTACATTGAGAAGATTGAAGCTTCTGAGTTCATGCAAAAAATGGAAATTGAGAATCACATTAATCGGCCCAAGGAGGAAGATAGTGTCATCATTAATCTTGAGTGGGGAGCTTTTGGCGAAAAAGGTGAACTTCAGCCGTACCTCACCGATTTTGACATCGAGTTGGACCACAACAGCTTACATCCCGGAAAACAAATGTAGGTTTTGACAACAGCTACTTCCCATTTTTTGACGTGAGACGATTCATTACACTTATTTTCAGATACGAGAAGATGGTTTCAGGCATGTATTTAGGCGAGCTTGTCCGAATCATTCTGATGCATCTGGTTAAAAGAGGTCTTCTGTTCAGAGGCGAGATGCCTGATCAATTGCTACATCAGGGTGGTTTTCTCACCAAAATGATTACTGAAACTGAACGGTGTGTGAACGTACTGACAATATCAATTAGATGATTGCAATAAATTGACAAGTTCACTTATCGTTTTCAGTGATCCGCCTCACCTATTCTACAGCACCCACTCAGTTTTAACTGAGGACTTGAAATTGCCCATCGTGGATCCCCTTGACGATCGTGTTGTTCGTTTGGCATGTGAAAGTGTCTCGAAAAGAGCTGCGTACCTTGCTGGAGCAGGTAATTTTCCATATTTAGCAATTTCAACTCAAATAAACCGGCATGGCTATCCTTGTGCTGTTTTTACATCTTTAGGTATTTCGGCTCTGATGCATAAATTGAATCGTCCTCAGATTACTGTTGGCATCGATGGGTCATTGTATAAATTCCACCCAAGATTCAGGGAACGCATGACGGATATCATCGACAAGTTGAAGCCAGATTTTGTGAAAGTAAGTCTTGAAAAAATTCGACTTAGTCTTCGCATTTGGATGGCAACATATGTTTCCTAATTAAACATAAATGTATATTCTAGACTTGAATAGTTTCAGCACTCTAGAAAAGTACTGTACCCCTTTGCCCGCGTGTCACGTAAGCAGTGTTCTAATTGGCCAGCGCAAAGTAGAAACCCACGAACAGGAGGGCTAGGACATGCGCTATATCTGAGGTATTTTCGACCTTACTTACAAGCGCGCTTTTCCATTCCTTCTCCCTTGTTTTCAGTTCCGCTTAAGGCTCTCTGAGGACGGCAGTGGGAAGGGTGCTGCCGCGATTGCAGCCGCGGCCACCAGACCTTCGAAACAAGTAGTAGAGTTCGCACGTCTATGAACGTTTCTTCGCCAATGGAAGAGGAGCATCTCCTGTTAGACTCCAATAGATCCACTGCCTTCAATAACCTCAACTTCTCTAACCTCCTACCTCTATGTCTTAGCTATTATCTTTTTACTGTGAATATCATGTCAGGAACCTCCCATCGGTACAATTTAGTCTTTTAAAACTCTGAGTTTTGATTGTATTTAAGTAGAGCTCAAAATACACCGCCAAATGTCCATTATTTTCTATTTTCTCAATTTTGGCAATGCGTTGACATAAATTAGAGGTTTGTAATACCATGAGTTTGGCTCTGGTCTTTTGGGCTAAGCAGATGGGCGTTTTAGGATACTCTTACCGAGACCACGCTTATTAAACAATTTTCGTGCTTAAATCTCTGGCGCAGTAAAACCATGCATGGTTTTCTCTTCTGCTTGACTAAGGTGAAGGTAAGCAGGAAGAGATGACGAACAGCTCCTTTTGGTTTTTGCCGGAGTATATCTTTCAAAAGGATGACTAAAACGTTTAAGAATAGAAAAACTAAGGTATCAGAGAACTTTCGGTTACCGTATTAGGCAAGATTGTACAAACATTTTAGTTTGATTTCCACTGCTGGCGCTTCTGGAAGGTTACCTCTTGTGAACCCTAAAGGCTATGTACTATGCACTAAATGTCAAGGGAAGGCTACAACAGCTTTAGCTGCAATTATTGAAAACGGGTGAAAGCCAATTGATGGTGACCTCAGAAAGAATCAAACACCGGCGTTACACCACACTTTTGTCGTACTCCAAAGGACGACAAGATGTTTCGTCTGTAACAGATAGGGTCCCAAAAATATAAGTGATATTTGCAAACGCAAGAGTTGAATGCTTCAAAGACTAACGAGTCATCTTGCAACTTAGAAAGGAAATGTCTTCTAAATGCATCAGAACAAAGCATCAATCAGACGGAGTCGGAGGGCTGAATGTCAAATGAGTTCTAACAGGCATATGAAAGTCTATCACCCCATTATTTTCTCTTTCCTCCGTATATAGAAGAATCCCCGACTTTAGAGAAGTCACACATGAAGTATTCCAAAGCGAGCTTGATTAACTTGCCTCTAACATAGTCATTTATGAAGAATGGAGTGGTAAAATGGTGTTTGAAACCACTTACATTAGCTGATATGCCCTATCTACGTTTACGAAATTGAAGAGGGCTAATCTAGGAGTCAAACTCAGTTGACGACTGAAGTCAGTGAGAGACTATTTTAGCCAAATCGTATTCGAAATCTCAGTATTGTTTAAAACAATGCATGAGAGGCAATGAGGTAAGGCCGTACAAACAACAATCTCGGAGGACTTGTTGACATTGTCGAATAAGCCTACCCTATGATGAGTTATGCCTTCTATTTTGCATTTAAATTTGATGACATGGAACTCAGACTCAAACTATGAAAGTTTAAGGTTATTCCAGCCGTTCTGTGGCTAAACCTTAGTGATTTAAAGTTTATCTCATTATTTTCAATTGTTAATTTGTTAACAAAATATAGGCCTGAATGTACTGTTTTCCTGTCCTGGCAAAGCTCAAATTCAAACCAGCATGACAAGGGATTAAGCAATGGCATTAAACTTCTGGTCAATCTCATGACCTTAATTAGATGGAGGTGTCACAATTTAATAAACTTTTTTAAACACCAATCATATCGGTCCGATCGGCATATGCTGCCATATTCCTACATTACTGTCATTTTAAGAGAATTAAAAGAAGTGAGTTGCGTGCGTCTATTTTGATGGAATGACCTGCGGAGCACAATATCGGCTTCAACAGCCTTTCCGAAAGTCGAAATACAATGTTGCCTTTAGATCTGCTTTAGGAGACGTCAAGGATCACTATTACTCGACGACTGGCGCATATAAACATAAGTGCCTTGTTTAAACAACAGCGAGAAGGACGATCCATTAGATACTGGCAATTACTTCTCCGTCTACAGCATGCGGTATAAGAATGCTGATAAAATAGGAAGAAGTGGTTGTCTCTACTAGCTTATCCACATCAATAAAGCCGTAAATGGGCGTTACTGTATGCCCGACTTGTGGCGACCAGTTTATTCCACTCGGGGTTCTATGCAGTTTAAAGGTTAAGCTACTAGCCCAAAACCTTACGGTGTTATTTGTTTTCATTGACACTGAACGTAGTTTCCGTGATTCATTAGTATAACCTTACGAGTCCACAAAATGGAATGGTATGTCCGTAATTTCTGACGTCACTAACATTCGTACTTAGAGTCTTTTTAGCTGGACCAAAAGTGGTGAACCACAAATGAATCGTTAATTAAACATCTTAATAAGTCCTTTTATTCCTTTTATTCCTTTTATTCCTACTGCGTCACGAGGGCTGAAGTATTCTTTGCATGGAGTAGGCTTTATGGCTGCTAAACCCTTACAACGATATATCATAAATTTTTTTTGTGTTTTCGTCTGCAGTAAACATATTTTATGGTTGAGAGATCAAAAGAGAGACTACGTGACTATAAACGATCTTCGATATTTAGACCGTACATTTTGGGGAGCTCCATGTTTACATTTTGGATGGCTAAAATTCGTAATTTTTCCAATGCCACATCAGTGAACCATTTTGCGCTATTACACCAGCTATCCTAAGACTACCCAATGACCATCAAAATGAATGGTTTTAGTTGCGTTTTGGGGGACGATAGCGCATCGTGCGGCTCAAATTACTAAACAATAGGTCAATATACCCCTTAAGGAAGCTTAAGCGGCCTTTAAAACATGGAACAAGACTTTATTCAAACCCTCTGGTTGACGGTACTGCCCAATGAGAGCACAATCGTGGGTCTTTAACCGTTTGTGAACTCGAAATGGCTGAAATTTTTTCGTGCGGCCTCACGGGTGATGACAGTGAATCGTGAATCAATGAATCAATCCACTTTAGTCGGAACTTCCAGATTAACCTCTGTGACTTGGGACACTGTCATTTAGTGAAGTAGGTGAAAGCAGTTCAGTTATGTTGCTAGCCCAGCTTTTGTTTATCACCCAACTTATCTTAAATCTGAAACACTTGAGACCCACGAAGGGATAAACGCATAGCAGTAAGTTCGGTCCATTTTTAATTCCCCGGAGTAGGAGCACAAAGGTGATATTAACCTTAATTCTTGGACCAGGAAGCTTTAAATTCTCCTTTTCACTACGTCAGTAAAGTCAGCAGAAGGAGGAAGGTCACACTGTAAAAGTCAGAGTAAGTGATTAAATGACCAACTGACTCAATTTTCCGTCTGTAGACGCCACCGTAAACATTGAATAAAAGCTATTCGATGTCTACATAGATGTCTTTGGTTAATGAATCACTTTTGTGCACTACAACGCCCACATGGAAACACCACTTGGCAATTACGAATGTGAGAATGGTGATGGAGGTGATTTGGTAAATATGATGTTAAGACACGAGAGCTAAAACGAAATGTCTTACGCGGGTGTGGATGTTTAGCCTGATGAAAAAAAATGGCTTTGCGAAAGATCTCAAGGATGACAGTGTAAGCTGCTATCTGAATACAGTAGATCTGACTGCCATCCAAGGGCAAGCGTTAAAGAGTGGAGGTGAAGGCGGCGTTGGTTGCATTCCCTGCCTTAAAAATGCGACCTCGTGACTTGTCAAAAGCACTTTAAGCCTCAGTACATTTTCATTCCAACTTTGCCTGCTTCATGTTTTATCGCCCTGAGCCGACTATTTTCCTTTATTCAACGTCCAAAATAGCCAATTTCTCAACAATACCTTGATCACTGATTTACCTCTTTGCTATGATTATGGAGAAATGGCGTTTTAGTCTCCAAGTCCTTCTGTTGGCAAGACGTACACATAACTGTCCTAATTAAAAGCAATCCTGTCACCTCCATCGAAGTCTCGTGATGCTTTATTCAAATTTACAATTCTTGATGTTAGACTTTGACGCCCACTCAATTTTTGATTATTTAGGTACCGATAGTACCTACTAAAATAAGAGCAACAAAACCCATACGCGTCTAGTCAAGTAAAGGAGGCGTCTCTCGCGATGAATTTTCCTTTCTACTGGAATTGTGGGAAAGAATTTTGACGCCCACACTTTGTATTAAAAAGTCATTCACTGTCTCTGTTTATTATATCGCCTCGAGAAAGATGTGACTGGTGAGTTTGAACTCATCACTATCGCTGAAACATTCTTTATTTCAGCCTTCAATTGACTCGCGGAGATTAAGATGAGGAATTAAATCCAAGTCCAAATGATAGAGTCTGATAGAGTGCTGATGCAAAAACTCTCAAGTAATGCAAAATATATTGTTCCCAAAGCGTACTCCTTTATCATGAGTTTTTTTCTGGTAAGAACAGAACATGTAGTGCTGGCGAAGAGGAGAGCAATCAAGGCATTGAATAACTCATTACTATAATCGATCGTTAATGCAATCGTGTCGTGAACGTTATTGTAGCTAGTGGGGTAGCGAAATCATCAACAAACTTGCCGATCATCATATTAGCGTTGATCTGCATCGCCACTCCTTCTGGAGTCTTTTTCTTTAGAAGATAGCTTTAGGAAGTGATGAAATATGCTAATTATATTGAATGTACCTCAATGGTGTTGCGCAAAATGTTCTCGCAGCAGAACTACTTTAGAAGGCAAAATATGTTGGCTAGCTTTGTTGGAATACAGTTTCTCGTTCTTTTCTTTTTAGCAGCTGCTGTCTTTCCAAGAGCGCCGGGCATTTCAGTGCATACGAGTTTTATGCGTGAACAAGGAAGCTGAAGTAGTTGTTGCGTGTCTATGAGCAGCAGTCCAAGAATCTTAATGGATTTTAACGCGTTTCTATAGACCGAGAATTTAAGATATGTAATTAGTAGATGTAATTTTTAATTCATTCTTCAAAGTTCTTCGCTAACCCATCCACCTACAGTCTTTACATGCTTCCATTGCGTTCAGATTTAGCTCTCAGAAATAGAACTTGGAACAGCTGTATAATAGGATTAAGTTTGCATTCTGTTGCAATTTC